TTCTTGGCTAATAACTATAGATTTCACTGTGACAGTGAGGACACCACTGTCTTCATGTATAATCCCTGCATGCTATCAGTCAGAGGCAAGCAATGCTAAACTTTGCTGACAAAATATTTTGTTGTAACTCAATTGTAAAGTTAAAATGAGTGTGGTCTCTTGCCAGGGCACTTATTAGCATCAGTTGCAGAAAGCCAGCTTAAAGGGCATATCACTGGAAATCTGTTTGGTGTGCTATGCTTTTTTAGATCCTTAGGTACAGTTTCTTTTCTCACTGCTTTTATCCTTTTCCCTCTGGAAAGTGTGGCTGGTTCTTGTTTTTCACAGTACATAAGCCAATACATCTCCACCCTTTGTTAACTTGTTTATGCAACAACTTTGCTGATACTGTCTGGGACATGCAATAAAGTTGGAGAATAAAGTGTGCCGTTGCACAGGAGAAACTCAGGGGCTCTTTCACTCATATGATATATATGGGCTGAGAGCTTAGCTAAGCATTTATACCAGGGGCAGGCAATTATTTTGGGCAGAGGGCCGCTTATCCAGTTTTAGCAGGCTGTTGAGGGCTGAATGGGTAGCCCTGCCCCTTGACAGGTGCCCCGGCCCCTGGTAACCATCTTGGGACCAATGTCCCAATGTCTTGGAACCAATGTCCCAGGGCCAGCACCGGTGGGGTCCAAAGCAGGGCACAGGCTGGCAGTGGTCTGTGGAGCTGGGCTGTGCTGCACCAGCAAGGAGAGTGGGGAGCTGGCCCGGGTCCATAGAGCCCCTGCCAGCTGGGACCCTGCGCTCCTGCCACCCTGCTCTGGGCCCCGCCGGCACTGACCCCAGGGCACCAGTGCAGGCCCCATGCTCCCACTGGCTCCCCATCCATTCACTCCCAGTGCCCCCCAGCCCCACAGTACAGGCGGGGGGCAGTGCACAGGCCTGACTCCCTGCTTGCCAGCAGGGAAGAAGCTGGTACTGAGTGCAGGGAAAAGCGGTCCCTTGCCCACCCCATGGCTGGAGCTCCCTGCTGCATGCATTCGCAGCCCATGCAGGGCTGTCCGGAGCAGGCACAGGCACTCCCAGGCAGGCTGCAAGCGGCTGCAGCGCAGGGCACCGGCCACATGGTGAGCGAGGAGCCGTTCTTCCTCTCACTCAGCACCAGCTTGTAACCTGGCCCCACTGCCAGCCTGGCAGCAGAGCCAGGTTACAAGGTGGTACTGAGCGCCGGGTTGGGGGGGGAGGGGAAGCAGCCCCTCACCCACCCCATGCCCGGTGCCCTGTGCCGCAGCCACTTATAGCCCACCTGGGGCTTCCTGTGCCGGCTCCAGACAGCTCCGCATGGGCTGTGAGTGCCTGCAGCGCAGGGTGCCGGCCATAGGGCGGGTGAGGGACCGCTTTTCTCTATGCAGGGAAGGAGCCCGGGGAAAAGCTGAGCATGGGGGAAAGTGGCCCCTCCTCCACCCCATGGCTGGCGCTCCCTGCTGCAGTCACTTGCAGCCTGCGGGGCTGTCCAGAGCACGCACAGGTGCTGGCCACAGGGCAGGCAAGGGGCCACTTCCCCCTGCACTCCTTCCCTGCCTGGGGTCCCACCCCCGCCCTTCACCCCCCCACTTACCTGTGGTTCCAGCACGGGGCAGCCACGTGCTCCCAGGCCAGAAGCCACGGCTGGGGCTTGTGGCTGGGGGGTGGGGCCAGGTAGGGCCCGCTGTTGTTGGAGCCCGCCGGGCTTCCCCTGGGTCCTACCGCCCTTGGTTCCTGTCATTTTTTACAGGAACCAAGGGCAGAGAAGTATTAATTTTCTACATTTTTAGGGGCCTCGTGGGCCGCATAGAATGGCCTCCCACCCTGATCTATACATTCTATCCACACTTGCAGAGCAGAAGCCAGTGAATTTTCTGAAAGCAGAGCTTTAAGGTATAACTGTAAAGTCATTCCACTTAAAGTATTTTGTGGTGTGTTCTTTTAGTATAATTACATTTGTATTATACTCTGAATGGTCACAACATGTTTTTTTTTACTAGATTAAAAATAAGGCCTCAAGGGTACATAGAAAATTCAGACTAAAAATTCAGGCCACTTCTAATAAGAAATTATGAAGGCACCAAAATGAGGGTCAACTTGTGCACCCAATTTTAGCTCTCCCCAAAGCAGAGACTACACAACTTCACAGAGGATACTGCAGGATGGTGCCTAGAAGCTTTTGACTTCTTCACTCCTGAGATAGTACTCTTGGCATGAATAATCTGTGGAAGCAACTCTGCCAAGGTTGTGTGGGCACCTTTTTGCTGACTGGAATACAACTACCAGAGACTATTTTGATTCAATTAGTTTGACCTGACCTTGTGGGCAAAAGGAAGAGGAATTTGAAAGTATACCGTATCTACTTGGGGTAGTAGCAATATTGCAGGTTGGCATTTCAATTTTGTTCAGGAGGTCCTGATTTCAATAGAAGAAATTCACATTTTTAACATTATTCAAAGGTCTTATTTACTCTAATGCATTGGGAGCTTCCAATGGAAACCTAATGACTGCTTGTGAAAATTGCCATTTGCTGGAAAGAGGCATGAAAGGCTCTGCCATCCTGCTTGGATGCTCTATAGTAAATAGTGCGAAGTATACTTGTCAGCCTCACACTTACCTGTTATTGAGAGGTAAGAGACAGGTGATAACAGAATGAGGGTAAGCAAAAGGATCCTAGAAAGGTGAGAGTGGAGTCAGCTTACAGCGGCAAAGACCTCTGCTCAAACAGGGGCACGCCCCACCTGAGCTGAGGAACCTACAGTTGAGTTTATCTCTTCCAAAGCAAAAAGCTGAACTTTAATTACAACCTGGAAACATTGGTAGTAACATACTGATTTGATAGGAAATCCCCACGACAGCATAAACCTAGAAATTGGTCTGGGACCTGTTTTAACAAGACAAACAGTTTTGTGTTCTTTGAAAGTCAGCTTAAAAAGGAGACTGTGGAAACAGTCAAGTCTTGCCAAAGTACACACCAGCTGTCAAGCTTACAAGATACTGTTACAAGACACAAGCAAAGAACACAGATTGGTATATACAGGAATGAGACATTTCTGTTAAACAGCATGTTAACAAGGAATTATATTTACTAGTTATGCATGCATCTATGTTATATTTACAAATGCGCTGGAAAGAAGCCACACAATTATTTCAAATAGCTAAAAAAAGTATCACTGTTTCTCCAAACCTAACATGAAAAACAACTTTCACTGACAAAACCATACATATCTACAGCAGCCCCACTTCAAGTCTACCTAAAGCTTTGAGTCCCTTGGATCCCATTATCAGGGCAAACACAGTAAGTTACCTACTTCAACTACTCTTGTAGGTCACAGAAACACTCTTTAAATGCTAGCTTACTGCAAAATTACCTTTTGATGTTCAGGAATCCAGGGATAATTACGAAATTCAACTCGTCTTAATAATTATTGCAATTTAGAGTTCTAAACTGATGGCAGATAGGTACATTTCAGTTAAGGGTTCAGCATTTTAGAGAGACATGCATGCCTGTCTATGAAGGAAAAACAGTTCCAGATATGCAGATCTGTTTGCAGATTCGGGCTTTGCATTTTTGACACAGTTACAGGTCTGCTGTCATGCCATCCTAACACAAAATTGGAATGGCATGACATTTGTCTTTACTTGATAGAAAGAATCATCTAATTTCTAAACACCTCGCACTTCCCTCTGTTACCTCATGGCAAAGAAATATTTTTAAATAATTTTTTGAGCTACCTACAAAATTACAGCATTGTACATTCCTTTCCTGGCTTTTGCAGCTTCACAGACAAAGATGATTGCCAGAGTTGCACAGACAACAATAAGGCTGGAGAACAATCAACCATGTTTTGGCATGATAAGATGTTATATAAACGTTTAAATATTAAACCAACAACTGTACTGGACAGTGCCCTGGTAGCTCTCTCTGAAATCATTCATTTTAGTTCCACTCTGTTTATGTACAGGACAGAAAGTTGCCATACAAACTGATACACATGGCATCAAAAAATTCTCATTACTTGTTGAAATGGGAAATAAAACTAACAATTATAAAGCTGTGAAGTATGTTTTGCTCTATTATAGCAACACGTGGAAAATTGCTGTTAAAAATTTTGGCACTGAGATAAATAAAATCCAGACATGGTCTATTAAACATATCAAAGTGAGCCTGTGTGCCAACTCCTTTTTATACTGTTATGTATGTTATGCAGAAAAAAAAATCCATGATCGGAAATCTGATCACAGGAAATATCATTCTGAGTGAATTATTAGAGAACATTTCCCTTCCACAAGCTATTATGGCTCAGTATATTATTATTATTATCAACTATACTGCTTTCCAATCCACACTTTTAGTGCCATAGATTGTTTTCCTCATCTTCAGCATTGTATTGCATTGCATATAAATAGAGTGTTCTTTAATGCTATAAAAATATACTCTATTACACTTTATATATAAACACTGGCACCTTTGCATCATGCATTTCATATAAACCCAGCTACAATTTGCAGTTGATTTTCATATTGGAATATCCCTTCATAATCAGTCTCAGATTATCTGACAATCAAAGCTGAAGTTGGGGGGAAAGTATGGAACACTTGAAGCAGGCCAAAGAGGTTTCAGCAAAAGGACTTTTGAAATGAAATACACATGTTTTCCGAACAATGATTTAACATCCGATTTTGCATGCTTTGGCTATTAGTATTACTGATTGACAGGATTATTTAGGTCAGAACATTGGAACTGTTCTAACTTGCCTTTTTTGGAGCGACATAATCATTTTAAAGAACTCTACTTCTGATTAGCATTGTTAAATGCTTCTTTCTTTTCAGTCTTCCCTTACAAGAACAATGAATGCATAGCAGATGCATACATTCAATAATGAACTGGCTACAACTGTGGTATATCCCACACTAACTTCCTAAGAGAAATGCATGAAGCACAAACATCTAGTTTAGTGTACTTTTAGCAAGAACACAAAGCCACAGAATAAACTAAAAAAAAAACGGCTTTATTGTGACATTTATGACATTGAACCCTTGATATGAATGATTATGGGTACTCTTGACATGTGTTACATAATGTCATGGTGTAGGAGGGCACTGATTGTCATCTGACTTTTGAGAATGTTTAATGGTCCCTACTGACCTCAGTGCATTTTGTTAAGTCACAGAAATTTTATCATCAGGTTTGTGTATACAGTTAACAAGTAGTTGGTCTTTATAAGCACCATTACAAACCCTCACATTAAGGGTATTATTAATCTAGTTTACAAATGCTTCATTGATAAAAATAGCATGATTACAGTATACACACACTTAATTTACATGTATTGTATTATAGGCATAACTGAGATAAACTACTGAGCTAACTTTGGTTGATTGAAGTATTTAGACTGAATAATGGCAATTTTGGCTTCTAAGTTGTGTAAATATTACAGTGCATTTATAAAACTAGATTGAAAAATTACTAGCACCAAATGGATATCATAAATGGCTGACCTAGTAAGTTGTAGTTGGAGAAGCAAAAGTTTAAGAATTACAAAAATAGAGCAGTCCATCGGTTGAAAGCACATTCTTGTACCCCTGCTGAAATGATGATGTATCTCAGCATCAGTGGCCAACTTCCAATGATCAAAGTCCCAGTTTTCAAGATTCAACATATCAAGGTAGCTCAGCTACACTTATAAGAAGCCTGAGAAAGTGGTTGTTCTGTTCTAGGGTATTCATCCTGTACCTTGCTTTTGTTATAATATAATAGTGCTCATTCATACAAATGTACTCATGAAAGACTGTACCTATGATATGGAGAATCTGATCGGGAGGAACATCGGTTCTACCTATCTATCTTTGGTTTAATTATTTGGTCTTTGGTTGATGAATTAATGAAGCAATATCTGAATTTTCATTTTTAGGTTATCTCCCAGCTCACCACTGAGGTAGTCTTTGTCATGTTTGTCTTCAAGCTGATTAAGTTCCTTCTTTTTATAGAGTGGAATACTACTGATTTGTAATGAATAGGTTCCAGGCACTGGCTTCTTCTTTGTAAAGTGAAGATAGCTTATCCCTTCCTTTTTATTGATTTTAAAGAACCCATCTTCATTTCCAGAGTCAATTAAATATCGGTTATGATTTGTCAGTGTTGTAAGAGCAGGAAGCAGTTCCAGGATTCGATCTTTGTTATTAAGCTTGGAGATGTTGAAGGAAAAGATGGCTGTTTTTTCAATATCCCAGCTGGCAAGGCTGATTACTGGTTCTCTCTCCTGTTGCTCCTGCATGAGAACAAATGACATTAGTCTGTGCTCTGTGATAGGCTTTTCTAAACTGCTCTCCAGAGAATTTCTTCCCAACCTAATAAGCTGTCCAGTAAGAAAATTAAACAGATTCTGTTTTCTTGCCCACCTTAGGCCCTGTGCAAGCCTCATTTGATCCAATGGCAAAATTTACACACATATTTTCGGGGAGAGGATTGGTCAAAAGAAAACACAAATCACAGTTACCTGAAAGCATTCTCTGCCTGAGACATGTATTTAATGCTTTTGCATGTGCACATGGGCCTGGTGCCTTTCAGAGACAGCCAGACCCTTTCATTCCCATTTCACCCCCTATACCCAACAGCGTGCATGCCTCTGTCACTTCCCTGGACATCAATAGCAATAGCAGGCTGAAATGAAAAATGAAGTGTGTGAGATAATGTGACCTGAGAGGAGCACAAACAGGTTGTCTGTTGGAGCAGGTTCCTTAGTGCTGCTATGCTACATCCTAAGGGAGCTGGATATAAAGGACTGCAAATGGTGTCAGTTCTTGCCTCTTAAGTCAAGGTAATTGAACTCCTCTAGCATGTGAGCTAAGCCATATGGAACAGTGTATTTATTTGAAACAAATCTCAGGGAAAATAAGAGAAGGCCAGCTTGAACTTATGAGCTTGGAACCTTGCCACAGCTGCCAGGGTTATGTCACTGCAAATCCTCCTTCACAAAGGCTAAATTCTTTGCCCCCAAACATGCCACTGACTTTTAGGAGTGAGGTATCATATCTGAGGCATCCCAGTTTGTTTTCCACAGATCACAGCTTCAAGTACACTTGCTGCACCTTGCTCAATCACTGATCTCACATGACTTTGCACCCATTTCCAAAGGTCCTGCAGAAAGGGACCCAAAACTCCCCACTGCATTTCTATGCGCCAATAAAATGCCTGCATAAAAAGCTGCCTGCTGGCCTGTACAATTGCGAATTATATTACATGTGTAAAAGTACCCCCTGGAACCCTGCATTAGCACATGGAAAGATTAGATTTGCATACATGGTAACACGTGCAAGCTGTAAACTGCTGGGCACTTAATTCGCATGTGCTTCAGGGGTATCTGGGGAAATCCTGGAGGGCTCTCTGGGTTATAAAATTTACTTCCAGGGGTGGACAACTTAAGCTTCACTGAGGACTGCTTGCAAGGTGCCCTTCCAATGGATGGTAACTGTTGATGGGAGAACTGCACCGCCAGAGGAACACTGCACTGCCATGCAGGCACATGCACAGATTCCTCCAATACTGTGGAGTGAGGACACCATCTGTGGTCATAAAGAGCATTCTGACTTGCTGCTTTTCCAGTCCGTCCTGGTTTTAGATACTCATGAACAACCATGGGTCAGTGGCCTATTGCAGAATTACAGCAGCTGGCTGGGATTAATCTGGTGAGCCACTTGCATCCTGCAGGCTCTGTTGTATACCTGTGGTTCACACCAGTGGCCTGTTCCCTTGTAGCTACTATGCTTGTTAGTGCAGAACTCTCCGCGTGTCAGACCACAACTGTCAGGGCAATTGAATGAGGTGGAAGGGAATGAAAGGAAAAGCAATCTATGATATGGCACCATTTCAAATGTACTAAAATTTCTGAAAACATAGCTATAAACTTAATGGGGTGAAATAATTCTTGAAGGGAGTTTTATTGCTTACACTGGTCAGACTAAAATAGTGGGGGACAACCTTTTTGTCAAGTGTGCCACAAATTAGCCCCGCACCCTCCCCAAGTGCCACTCAGATCCCCTGCCCAATGTACTCTTCTGTTTTCTGCTCCGAGCCTTGCTGATTTGCTGCTCTGCTTTCTGCTTCCTACCGTGTACTTCCTGAGTTTAGTCCCCTCTGCTATCTGGGCCATGGGATAAATACCATGTGCAGGACTTCTTGGATGGCCTCTGGCTCACAGCAAGAGGCCTGGGTGACTGTAAGCGTGTCCATATATCTCATTAAAGGCTGCAGCAATCGGATGCACTGGAGTCCTTCCAGATTCAGCATTCAGCCTCTGGAACTCAGTGTTTATGTTGGAGAGGGTCCCATCCCTGCATGCTCAACACAGTCCTATTCAGTAGGGGACCCACCCACTCCCAGAACGAAGTGTCCTGATTTTGAGAGCAGGTCACGCGAGTATTTTACACTCATGCTGTCCTCCAACATCAAGAGCCATCTCTGCTCTTGAGCACACTGCTTTTTGGGTAGTTGGGTGGGTGGTTAGCTTGAGTGTTCGATGCAAATAGGAAATGAGTAAGCGTGTCAGAATCCTCCAAAGATGACCCCTCCTTGATGAGACCTAATAGCTTCAGAAAGCCTCCACAAACACCCATGAGGTCCCAAAAGCAGCTCTTTGGGTCACACAGAGGTGACATGCCTGCCTACAGCCTGAATTTTTTCCCTTTGGATTCTTTCTTTGTACACAAACTCTCCAGCTGGCTCTCAGAAAAAACCCCCAACTCTTTTCCCAAGAAGGTCAGTTACCTCTGCTTCATCTGCAATGCTTTCATTAGTGCTTCTGCGCTTCCTCCCTCTCTTGTGGTAGCCATTGATTTTACATTCATAGCAAGCTTCTGGAGACAAAGAGTTGTCATCTACTTCACCACTGACTGGCAATTCCTGAGCCTGACCTTTACCAAGTCCCATCCCAGAAACACAGTGTCTGGTAAATGAAAAAGGACAAATCAGTTCCACTTAAGTTATTCAGCTCATGCGACCCATTCCCCCCACCCCAATCCTAACCCTGTACCAGAAAATGTGAAGAGTTTTGTTACTTAAATACAAACAATAATAATGAAGGAATTTAGCATTCTTTTCCTACGCAAACCTCTTACTAAAGCCAAGAGGCCAATTTCTCTATTCAGTCCTAATGATGCCACTGCTTTGGCTCAGCACATAGCTCAGGAAGGCTCTGCTTAACAGAGGCTTGAAAATATTTAAGTATTTAAAAACACACACTTAAAATTTCATAAGTAGCAAGTGGCTCTGAATCCATTTCAAAGTACTGAGTTTTTTGTTTCTCAAAATGTGACCCCTTTACAAGGTCTCAAGTTGGGCACTGAAAATGTTGGCCACAGTCTTTGTCCTTTTCCTCCAAATGTCTGTTCCTAAAATTCCTGTGAAGATAATGGTCCCCAATGATTGTGGGACCAGATTTGTATTGTCTAGTTGGCAGTTAGATTTTCAGAAGGATTATTCTCTGATTTTCATTATGAAACAAACATATACAGAAAATGATTCCTTGAGCACTTAGTGCCATTCAGCTAGAAATCTTGGCTCACATCCTATAAAGAAATTTCATTTTGACAGATTTTGAGAAACACTGCTTATCTTTAGAGCCATAGCGAAGGGTGGAATATCCCAAGTAGGCAACTTAGCCAAGACATGGGCCAGGGTTCCCTGCAGTCGGAGGGAAGTAGAAGTGGCGCACTATGGACTACTGCATCTAGTGGACTGACTTCTTTGGCAATGACTGGACAACGCATGCAGCTCCAACACCACCTTCATCTCTGTCCCCTGCCCCTGCCTTATTTGCTCAGAAAAGTTCAGCTTCAAGCACAGGAGGGACTGAAATGCTTGCACACCTTCCTCAGTCCAACCCCATTCTCCATCGTCTCTGCTGCCTCCTGCGGTGCTGCAGCTCCACACCAACAGGGAAGGGAACATACTTTGGCCCTGTAATGACGATTAGCTTAAATATGAGAAGCCCTTACCCTTGTCCTATTCTGAAGTAACCAGGTGGACATCCACAGACATAGCCACCTTCAGTATTTGAACACCCATAACTGCATGGGGCTTGTGCAGAACCGCATTCATTGATATCTTGGCAACCTCCACTAAATTGTTCATAGTGAAATCCGGCAGGACACATACATTTATAGCTTCCCAAAGTATTGTGACAAGATGCTCCTCCACAGATGTGTGCAGAGAGGCATTCATTTTCATCTGGAAGGGAAGCAAAGCATATTAGAAATGAGCTTTTATTCTTAAATCTTATTTAACTTATCCCTATTTTGCAATTTCAGAAAGGACTAACTTCAGACAGGAATGAAGGAATAATTGACAACACTTTTTCCAAGAGCTAAATCTTTCTTTTTTCTCTTCAAGTATGAGATATAGATAGGTAATGGAATTTTAATGAAAAGAGGAACAATAAAAATACCTTTTGCCAGCATCTGGGAATATTGAAAATCAATGTAAATTTGGATCAGCACCACTCCACAGTTCAGTGGTATGGCTGTCTCAGATTGGGAGGTTAATTTGTGGTCCCCCTATTCGTAAGTATGCTTTGAAATGTTATAATATGAATACTATACTATTTGAAAGAAATTAGTTTGAATTGAATGCAAAGATCAGATCTAATAGGGTTGGTTTTAGTACCTATTTTGAAAGACTTTTTGTAGCCTTTTTTCAACTTCAAACAATTTGCTCTATATTTTCAAAGCAATCCCTTTAACTTCTTGCAATATAATTTATGATATGGTTTACAACACAACTGCCTGGGCTGGAGATGCAGTCACATGTTGCACAAGGCATGGGAGGAACCAAAGCATTCTTTAGTGATTATCTACATTTGTGCTGCAACAACCTCAGAAAGTCCCTGAACACTACATTACATAAGGTCAAAAAGATGCAAACTGTTTTCAGAAACAAGACTGCCAACATTAAGGGAAAGGCTTTGGAAAAATCTATCACACAATTCCTCCCCTGTGGTATTTCCCAGGAGGCCCAGATATGCATCTTCAGCATGTATGGTAAATACTACAGATAACTGGCATATATATATACACACTATGGAGAGCACCAGTTAGAATCATCCTGACTTACTGCAGTTCATTCATTTATAAGAAATACTGGTAGCACATGATTCATTTTAGCTAGAAAATTAAGGTGTCATCAAATGGACTCATTCTAGGCAAACGTGCTCTTCTACTGTAAGAAAGGAATTTTTGCAGAGCAGAAAAAAATAAACGGAGAGGTTCAATCTTCAAATTCCATACTATTTCCCAATTAGATAGCACCAGGAGAGCTGAAATTACAGCTTATTATTTAAAGCTTTAAAAAGTTGAATTAAAATTAATTTAAATCAAATCACTTCTACTTTAATTAAACCTTTCCAAATGGAAATGGCTTTCTAGTTACCTTCAACTTGTCCTGTATGTGAAGTGAACTGAGCACTAGAGCATAAATGAACTGCGCATTAGAGCGTAAATATCCAGATTCCCCACCAAGAACTGTGTTACATGTCAAAAGTTTGGTAAGCAAAATTACAAGCAAGGCCCTCCCTAAAGAAGCCTCGTAATAACAGGGATGCATTCACAGATGCATCTCAAGCAGGTCCAAGGAGGTGATCCTCCCCCTCTATGCGGCACTGGTCAGGCCACAGCTGGAGTACTGCGTCCAGTTCTGGGCGCCACACTTCAGGTGGGATGTGGACAACATGAAGAGGGTCCAGAGGAGGGCCACTCGCATGATCAGGGGGCAGCAGGGCAGTCCCTACGAGGAGAGGCTACAGGACCTGAACCTGTTCAGCCTCCACAAGAGAAGGCTGAAGGGGGATCTAGTGGCCTGTTACAAACTAGTCAGAGGGAACCAGCAGGCACTGGGGGAGTCCCTGTTCCCCCGAGCATTGCCAGGAGTGACGAGAAATAACGGTCACAAGCTGGCAGAGGGTAAATTCAGATTAGACATCAGGAGGTGCTACTTCATTGTCAGGGTGGCTAGAATCTGGAACCAACTTCCAAGCAAAGTGGTGCTGGCTCCTACCCTGGGGGTCTTTAAGACAAGGCTGGACAATCACCTTGCTGGGGTCATTTGACCCCAGTACTCTTTCCTGCCCATGGCAGGGGGTCAGACTTGATGATCTGCTCAGGTCCCTTCCAACCCTAGAAACTATGAAACTGTGAAACAAGCACAGGCATTTTTCTGTTCTTAAATAGTAAACAAGCCAAACAGAGCTCTGAGACCTCTGGTTCTCAAAGCAGAGCCATCATATGCATCTTTTTATCTATCCTTGCAACACTGAAGCTTATGTGGGTCCCAAATAGACTAGAAATATATACAGTTTTCACTAGTGGAAAAAATTATTAATGTCAATGCTATCTGAATACAACACCCTCACGGTGCATAGTTGTAGCACAGTACAGGGATTTTTCCCATGTCTTCTGTTATGTAGAGAGCCTAGTCCTGTTGGCTGAAGCCATATGACCGGTAGTATTCTCCATTGATGTGGGTCATAGAGATTTGGGACAGAACCAAATTTAGATGAGGAGCCACATTTGTGTTTTGTTTTAATTTGCACAGCTATTTATTTCTCAACTCAACCACGAACCAACAATATTTGTTATATATCATTTGAATCAGCATCAAGCAAGTGCTTTTTGCAGTTATCACCCCTGCAAGCTGTATTTGGGCAGATGCCATTCATCTTGATGAATTCTGACAAACCATTTGTTTGGTCATAGGACTATGGCTGAATTACAGAAGTAGGCTCCTACTGGATTTCGGATGCTTGCACAGTCTTACGCTAGACATTTAATTTTGCACTTATACCTAAACATGGGCTTTGATTCTGTTAGGTAGTATGTATGTATCATCAGCTCACAATTGAGAGTTCTGTCTGTGAGATAACTGAATAAGGCTTGATGCAGTGCTTAAATGAAATACTTCAGAGCATGTGCTTTTAATTAATTAATTAATTAATTTTTGAAGGCAATGGGACTGCTAACATGCTCAAAGTTCACCACATGCTAAATGATTTGCTGAATTTAAGTCTGGCTTGTAAACCCAACAGGAGTTCAGTGCATTCAGCATCTCAAATGCACAGGTTCACATTAAATTTGTCCTCAGATGGACATTTTTTAAAAGAAACTTCAGTGAAATGACTGGATTACCATTTTAAAATATAACAATCAAAAGAAAATGATCTTGTTGATCACAAAGTTATGATGCATTTGATTTTGCTAAAAGAGAAAAGTGACTTGCCAACGCATTGGTTCCACTGGTAATGCTGGAGATATCCTTGTGGACAGCTGCACCTGTATCCTCCGATTATATTTTGGCAACCATGTTGACACCGATGGTTTCCATCACATTCATCAATATCTAAAAGGATGATGCACAGTATAAGCTGGAATAATTATTTCTCCACAGTACAGGTATTACTGTATTTACTCAAATGCAAGATGACCTAGAATATAAGACAACTCCCCAATAATTAGATTCTGTATATGGAAAATTTATAAATTTGTTACAATTTTCCAAGTGTAGAACAGAATTATCAGACTGCTGTCTTGAATTCATCCTCCTCCCACTGCGACAGCATGGAAAATAGTGGCTGGGCATGGGGGAGCCCTCGTCCTCTGCCCCCCAACTTCTCCCCCCCTCCCCTCAACCTTACTGTCAGACCTTGCCCAGACTATTCCCTCCCCAAAAATAATGTGGAAGTGAGGTGCCTGTGACAGTAAGGGGGGAAAAGGGACAGAAAGGAGCAGACACTGCAGACAAACAAACGGTACATGATATTACTTCACAGCCAAAAGGCTCACAACTTATCATACAGTTCATTGGGCTGGGCCCCAGCAGAGTCAACAGCATTTCAAGCCATGGTGGCTCCACAGTCCAGCATTGCTCAGTATGTGCATGTAGTGCAGATCCCCTCCAGAAAGGATCCACATGCTAATTAGCACCCCCCATTCGTGCCTGGTACCAGATGTTCTTGTCACGTGTCATGGGACCCTCCAAAAACTTATATGCAGATAAGGCACGGTGCTACCTAGTCCATCATAGTTTCATAGTAGGTAGGGTCAGAAGGGACCTGAGCAGATCATCAAGTCTGACCCCCTGCCATGGGCAGGAAAGATTGCTGGGGTCAAACGACCCCGGCTAGCTGATTATTAAGCCTCCTTTTGAAGACCCCCAGGGTAAGAGCGAGCACCACTTCTTTTGGAAGTTGGTTTCAGATCCTAGCCACCCTGACTGTGAAATAGCGCCTCCTGATGTCTAGCCTGAACCTACTCTTGGTCAACTTATGGCTGTTATTCCTCATTAGTCCCAGTAGTGCTTGGGGGAACAGGGACTCCCCCAATGCCTGCTGGTCCCCCTTGGCCAGTTTGTAGATGGCCACCAGATCCCCTCTCAGCCTTCTCTTGTGGAGGCTGAACAGGTTCAAGTCATCTAGCCTCTCCTCATAGGACCTGCCCTGCTGCTCCATGACCATGCGAGTGGACCCTCTTGATGCTGTCCACATCCCTCCTGAAGTGCAGCACCCAGAACTGGATGCACTACTGCAGCTGCAGCCTGACCAGTGCTGCATAGAGGGAGAGGATCACCTCCTTGGAACTGCTCGTGATGCATCTGTGGATACATGACAAGGTGCGGTTGGCTTTCCTGACCACGTCCCCACACTGCCGGCCCATGTTCATTTCGGAATCAGTAATGACACCAAGATCCTTTTCTGCCTCTGTGCTGACGAAAAGGGAGTTCCCCAGCCTGTAGGTATGCTGTTGGTTCTTCCTCCCCAGGTGCATCACCTTGCACCTGTCAGTGTTGAATCTCATCCGTCCACCCCTGTAACCTGTCTAGATCTAGTTGCAGCCTGTCCCTCTCCTCCAGCATGCCCACTTCTCCCCACATCTTAGTGTCACGCATGAATTTGAACAAGGTGCTTTTCACACACTCGTCCAAGTTGCTGATGAAGATGTTGAACAGTGCGGGGGGGAGGACTGAGCCCTGGGGGACCCCACTGCCCACATCCCTCCAGGTCAAAAAAGACCCGTCCACCAACCACTCTCTGGGTGCAGCCCTCCAGCCAATTTGCGACCCATCTGACTGTGTAGGCAGACGCCACAGTTGCCTAATTTCTTAATGAGAATGGGGTGAGAGACAGTGTCGAAGGCCTTCCTAAAGTCCAGAAAGACTACGTCCACCGCGACACCTGCGTCCAAGGATTTTGACCTGGTTGTAGAAAGCCACCAGGTTGGTTTGACAGGACCACCCCATCTCCACCCCATAGAGCAGGGCCACTCTAATCACATGTGGCAGGCTGAGGGAGAGGGTGACAGAGCCCCTCAGCTACAAAAAAGTTAGGTAATGTTTGCCAGACATTTAGGGCTCATGAAGAAACAGAAATCATGGACATGGGACATGGGAAAGAAAGGCACTACTTGACTGTGGGAATGAAGAGGAAGTTGACATGTATTTGATGTAGTGGCTCACCATAACCTGAAAAACAGTTGGCACTGAGAGGGACTGAACACAAAGAGCTCTATTTCTTATTCAGATGGGTTGCACTGGCCTGTCCTTGTGGATCAAATTTTTAACACGGAAGGGCAGGTGTCAGGGGTGGGACACACACACACACACACACACGATTTCCATGAGTATTTCTGACAACAGGGGAGGGTGTTGGAGCTTACTCTTGCCTCTCTGAGTGCAGGCCTGGTAGTGCAATACCTCCAGGCCTGATACTTGAGTTTATTTGTGGGGGAGCAACTGTCTTTTTTTTTTCTAAGGGCAATGGAGGACTGCTTTCATGATTTTCCCCTACTTCATAACTTTTTTCATGACTGAGCATATGCAGTTTCTAACAGCAGTTTAAATGATAGCCAATTTATTTAATGGGTGAGTTTGTTGGTATGCCAATATAAGACGTGCGAAAAATGCCGATGGGAAAAAACCTCATCTTATACTCAAGTAAATATGGTAATGCCATATTTTTAAAAAAAACATGTAATTCTGTGGTTTGAATGTATTTCTTCTCAGTATCGTTAATCTTAATGTCTTCCAAAATCATTGTAATTTAGGGGCATTTGTGAGAAATAGGCAAAGACACAGGTTCAGATACTGCCATGGTGGTAGAAGTGTAAAACTGTACAACCAAGAACACCAGAAAATGCCTACATTAAATGTCAGCTGCTGCTTCTGCAAGTTTTCTTATCATTCTCTTAGGAATTACTTTATTACAGAAAATGAAATCATCTGTTTAAAAATTCTTTATAAACACTGGACAAATACCGGAAGAAAACACCAGAATTTCCAGACATACACTAGAAACAGCAGCCTGTACAATATTTTGCTCATAATTTAAGTAGTGTAAAATATATGTTGTGGTATTAGTTAAAAGTAGAGCTCATGACAGAATGTGGATACTGCCAGACAGCCAGACCTAAACAAATGCTCAGTTATAAATGAAAAGAATATCCATCACAAAATCCAACAACATTTTCATAATATAAAGAACTCTTATTACATTAAAAGTGACAAATTGTATGTGTCAGGCTCATTCTTCAGAAATTCTCTGAACCTTTTAGTCAGACACTGACAACTCTTCTTCACATCTGGAAGAATAGAACTGTTTACTTAAAGTGGTCCCTGCTTCATTCAGTGCTCTTCTACTACTTAATCCTCCTCCTCCTAAACTAGACAGATGGGGCCAAATTTTAAGCCGGTTGAAGACAATGTTTTTGCACGTGTGTGCTGACACCCGCTCTGAGCCGACTCATGGCTGCAAATTCCTTCTTCAGATTCAGCAGGTTGAGTTCCTACTTACTACAACAGGAGCTTGAACTTTGTACCAGAGACAATTTCAACCCCAGCCTATTTACATCCAATGTATGATTATTTTGCACATTTATATGAGCGGGCTTAATCAGCCAGATTAATTCCTGGCACATCCAAGAATGTCAGTTGCACTGAGCAGCTATGGGGGGCTTTCAAGATCTTTGTCTCTGGGACAACTCCACAGTGTGGACTGCTCCACAGCCACAGAACTTGGGAGCCAAGCAGTGCTGGCTCAAACTTGGGATATCTCAGGGTTTCCAGAAGCCCTGTTGCAGAGTTGAGTCCTCATTACGTTCCGACCCTGACGGTTTTAGCTCTCCCCGAGCCCCTTCTCCCTAACAGAGTCTCTGAAGCCAGTGGTGTGGCTCTGCCAGAGCTCCAGACCCTGAAATCCTGGGGTCTTAACTCCAGGGCAGACCTACCAGGCAGATTGCCACTACAGAGGGACCCAGATTTTCCAGGACCATGTCTCTGGCCCTGGGACAGTCTGTTTGTTGAGCATGTCCCAAAACTACAAACCCTGGAAGCACAAGATCTCCAGCCTCAAGGGCAGACTGCCATAAATGACAACTTTTAGAACAAACAGCTCAGGCTCAATAAACTGGTAACAGTTATTCAGAAGCTGTCTGTGTGGCCCTGTTACACACCCAGGGATGATCACCATCTCCTTAGGCCCTGGGGGATAAGTAGAGGGAAATCTCAGAAAATAAACAAATTGGTACCTTAGAGTAGTGAATATACCCTCAGAGCCATGCTCAGGGTCTTTGGCTCGGATGTGCTTGTTGGCTTGCGCTGAATGCTGCTCTGCAGCAGCTACATTGCCTAACACCTGGGGTTTGAAGCATTCTGGCGCAGGGATTAATGGGTGAGATGTGATATTCTGGGCTTGATATGGCAGTGTCCTGCTGAGTTTGTTGATCAGGATGAGGCCAGACTCTGAGACAGCCCAGGATGAAGCCAGATGTCCAGGTGTGTTCTGGCAAGGTGGTCTGACTGGCAGTGTTATGTACTGTGCCTACCTTCACAGCTGAGTCCAGTTTGATCAAGTGAGAAGCCCCGCTGACATTCACAGACAAAGCTCCCAGGTGTGTTCTGGCAAATGCCTTTAGTCCCACACAGATTGACTTCAGTGGCACATTCATTATTGTCTAAAAGAAACAAATATTAAAAGCACAGTGTGGTTTTGCAAAGCAATTGCTCATCTTGAAGGTGATCATTAAAAAATGATGACTTGCATCCAGAAAGAAACATCACTGATTTGATAATTTTACCCCCCATTCCAGCTTGGGCCTGGCAACAAAGGAACAAAAAAGGCAGAAGCACCTTCTTTCCTGCTCGAAAACGCAAGTGGCAGACAGACACAGTTCTATGGAAACTGTTCTCAAAACTGCATAATGGATTTTGAATCTGATATTGTATTCCAGCGCGCACAGAATTCAGCCTGGTGCCAAAGGAACACAGAATACCAGAGTTAAGATTCAGCATGCAGAGCTGACAAACAGTAGGGCTTTTTGCAGCAAGTGATTCTATCTGGCATTTAAACAGACCTAATAGGCATGGGCACACAGTCCTCGTCATTCATATCTAAATATTTATGGCCTGCTTTTTTAAAGCGCCTCAATATGGCCTCTCATTTTGTGTCTTCAGCCACAAAACTGAAATGGCTTACTGGAGAGGGCTGGGGCATGAAGCAGAGCTCTGTGCTCTCACTGCACAGCCACTGCACTTAGGGAGCTGACTCACTTATTTGCAGGGAAACAAGGGAGAGCAGGAAAGAAGATCTCTTTGTACTACCTGTCCCCACTACTCATAGACTATTTATCCAATGGAGATCTCCTGAATTCCTAGGTCTCTGTCTACCAGGCACTCAAAATTGCACTTCAAAGATATCTGCAAGCAGGATATGAAGGCTTTTGGAATTGACCCAAACCTTTGGGAGACCTTAGCAGGAGATAGGACAAAGTGGCACTCCTTTCTCAATCATAGAGTCCAACATCATGACAAGAAATGGTCACTCGAATTACAACAGAAATGTGACTGAAGGAAACAGCCCATCAGTATAGTAGTCCCTAACACCATGTACACCTGTGACCGCTGTGGCTGGACCTGCAAGTCTAACAACGATCTTTGCAGCCACAAATCAGTAGAATAGCTGCAATATCCACAATCAATCGCTGATGAATGGATGCCATAAAAAGCTACCAGGTATACACATAGTCATAGTGGCATTGACACACTCATCTAGTCCACTAACTGACTTCAGGCACAAAACTAAAGTTTGTTTTATAAAAGGTGGCTCTAGGTACAAATACCATGTTTCCTCTGCAGCAATCATTTAAACAGCCTGGCACAGCAAAGGGAAACTTAGTGGATCAAATTCCATTTTTATGGCTGCTCTGAGGCAAGTGGGATAAGACCACAGCCCATTGTTTCAACTGACTGTACTTGGAAATTGAATTAATCCACGTGTTACAACCATGACCAGAATGAGACAGAATAAGAGTGCCCAACACAGACTTGTATTTTGTGAGAAGCCACCTCCAGCACCGCTTACCAATACATGCTGTATGATGCTGAGTGAAGCCAGGAGGACATTTGCAAGTGAAGCCCCCAATGGTGTTGACACAAAGGAACTGGCAGTTGTGCTGTTTTGTTGCACATTCATCGAGATCTGAAAGAAAGAAAAAAACAATGTTCTTTCCATCTGGAGTCCTTATCAAGGCACTTACTTTTCAATAAAAACACTGAGAGAAGCAGTTGTAAGCTAATGACCCAATTTACAAATTCTTTGTAGAGGAGTAAAATCTGGAAGTATATTGCACAGGCCTGGCTCTGTGCTTCAGGATACAAAGTGCTACATTGCTAAGGAATCCAAAGAGGGAAAAGGAATCTCTGAGCTGAGATGGCACCCTGTGTCCAACTTCAGTTGGTGGGATACAAGACTTAGAAGGACATAAGAGGAGAGTCCTCACACACAGCTCCCTCTCCCTCCTTGAGTCTGATCTCCCATCTACTCTTTGATCCTGAACTTACCTTTCTTTTCTATCTCTTCTGCCTGCAAAGCTGCTTTTTCAATGAAGATAGAATAATACTGCTCATACCTACAACTGCTTTGAGTCCCTCTCTCCCAATATAAGGAACTTTTGGAGAGGCTGGGCATGTTTAAAACAGTAGGTCCAGATGCTCTTCACCCGAGGGTGCCGAGGAAATTGTCAGAGATCATAGCAGGGCCCCTGGCACAGCTCTACGAGTGCTTGTGGAGCACTGGCCAGGTACTAGAGGATTGGAAAAGGGCCAATGTAGTCCCCATTTACTAGAAGGGGAGAAAAGAGGACCCCGGCAATTATAGGCCGGTCAGTCTTACCTCGGTCTCTGGGAAGACCTTTGAGAAAATTATCAAGGAGCACATCTGCAAGGGCCCAGCAGGGGAGGTAATGCTCAGGGGCAACCAACATGGGTTCATTGAGGGCAGGTCCTGCCTGACTAACCTGGTTTCTTTTTATGATCAGGTCACAAAGTCCCTGGATGAGGGTGTCAGCATTGATGTCGTCTTCCTGGACTTTAAGAAGGTCTTTGACATGGTTTCCCACCACATTCTCTTAAAAAAACTTGGTGACTGTGGCATTGATGCCTACACAGTCAGATGGGTGGCAAATTGACTAGACGGTTGGACCCAGAGAGTGGTGGTGGAGGGGTCGTTTTTGACCTGGAGGGGTGTGGACAGTGGAGTCCCCCAGGGCTTGGTTCTGGGGCCTGTACTGTTCAACATCTTTATCAGTGATCTGGAGGTGGGTGTGGAAAGCACGCTGTCCAAATTCGCTGACGACACCAAGTTGTGGGGCGAGGTGGGCACGCTGGAGGGGAGGGAGAGAATCCAGCTAGATCTAGACGGGTTACAGAGGTGGGCGGATGGGAATAGGATGGAATTCAACGCAGACAAGTGCAAGGTGCTGCATCTAGGGAGAAGGAACCAGCAACACACCTATGTGCTGGGGAACACCCTTCTTGTCAACACAGTGGCAGAAAGGGATCTTGGAGTCACTGTTGACTCCAGGATGAACATGAGCCGCCAATGCGAGGAAGCGGTCAGCAAGGCTAACCGCACCTTGTTGTGCTTCTACAGATACATCACAAGCAGGTCCAGGGAGATGATCCTTCCCCTCTGTGCAGCACTGGTCAGGCCACAGTTGCAGTACTGCGTCCAGTTCTGGGCGCCGCACTCCAAGAGGGATGTGGCTGCACTGAGAGGATCCAGAGGAGGGCCACTCGTGTGGTCAAGGGGCAGCAGGGCAGGCCCTACAAAGAGAGGATAAAGGGCCTGAACCTATTCAGCCTCCACAAGAGAAGGCTGAGAGGGGATCTGGTGGCAGTTTACAAACTCACCGGAGGGACCAGCAGGAACTGGGGGAGGCTCTGTTCCCCCCGGGCACCACTCAGGGTTACTAGGAATAACGGCCACAAATTGTAAGAGAGAAGGTTCAGGCTGGACATCAGGAGACATTACTTTGCAGTTAGGGCTGCCAGGCTCTGGAATGGGCTCCCAAGTGAGGTGGTGCTCTCCCATACCGTGGGGATCTTCAAGAGGAGACTGGACAGATATTTGGCTGGGGTGATATGACCATGGCGCCCATTCCTGCCTGGGGCAGGGGGTTGGACCTGATGATCTGTTTAGGTCCCTTCCGACCCTAAGCACTATGATAGAGACACCTACGCCTTCATTACTTCTGGTGGGCACTACGGCTTGTCCCAGCTCCCATAAATAATTACTAATCAAGTTCTACACACTGCATGCTGCTGCCTATCTTCCTACAAGTACTGAGAGAAAGTACCAATAAACCTCTCTCTATCATTTCTCAGCCTAACTGGTGTTCTAGGCATGAACAACTCCAAATAGTCATTTGGTTTAAAACTCTTCCTGGACTGGCTCCCATCTATTTCTAGGATATTCTCTCTCTCCTTTTCACTACAGCATCTGCTCCTCCCTCCACTACCTGCAAATCAAGTTCAAATTTCATTTTAAAAGATTTATTTCCACTATGATCTGAAACTGTCATTTTGTTCTTTTGTTGCAAGCCTTATTGCTATATGCTTTTTGTTGTTGTTGCTATAAAGCATCTGTCCTAAACAGCCAGTTTTCTGGATACAGAGAGGCAAAGCACCAGATGCACAGAGGTCCCTCTGCAATAGGTATTTACAGATGCACACATGGTAACTGCAGGTTTATCTGGAATGTAGTTGTGTACATCAATACTTCTTTGCATATGCAGCAACTAATTTGAAGGCCTATTTGTGATAAATGTACAAAGAATAGGGGCAGATTTGCATATGTTCTTACATACACTTGTACAAATATATGCAAATGGGGCTCTAACAATGGAAAAATTGGCATTTTGCAAATATTACAACTGATGCAACATCCTGTGGAACTGTCTGTATTATTTTATTGTGCAAAAGCATTTTAAATAAAGCCTCTGATCTTGGGATGGATTCTAGTTTCCCTCTCAAGTAGACCCATGTGTTACGTGAGACTTTGGATGAGTATCAGCTAAGTACAGACACTGAAAAAGCCCAAGCCTGAATTGATTCAATCTTTGCAGGTTACTGTAACCTGTGAAGATTGAACTGATTTGCAAGTGAATTCACTTTTGATTTTGGAAATGAAGGCACATGCCTGCAGTGGCTCAGGCCAGAAACTGAGGGATGCTAAAGCAAGCCCTCCCTTCCCTTCTGCAGCAGCTGCAAGGCTGGAGGGAAGTTGAGCTGCAGGGGCATGGCCAGGCCCTGGCAGGCTGAGTATGATTGGGGAGGGGTTTACACCCCTCAAGCAGCTGAGGCAAGGGTGCCTGGTGTCAGGGCTGCCAGTCACCTTACATACAGTTTAGAGTATGGGTGTGTACAGGATGGTCTGGACAGGGATGTTCCTGCCTCAGGCAGGGGCTGGACTAGATGTGACCCCTGCGGTTCCTTCCCAGCCCCACTCTTCTAGGATTCCCTGACCTGATTCATAGAAATTCTCACTCCCTGACCTGATCCCCTGTGCCACTCCTCCAAGAGCAGAGCATTTCGAGCTCCCGTTCTACTGCAAAAAGAAGAGGAAGGAAAGGCCTGGGTCTCGTTTCCCTGCCAGGACAGTCACCTCCATGATGGGACATGCACAAGGGGCTGCATGAAGCCAAGGGTCACACCCCCCATGAAGTGAAGCAGGGCCTGTTGCTGCACAGCCCCTGCTCTCTGCATTGCTACTGGGTGGACTGAAAGAGGAGGCTGCAATCAGGCAACTGCAGTGCCCAGTAACTCTGTGGGCAGCGCCAATAACTTCTCCAGCGGTGGCCACAACTTTCCAGAAGTTGGTGAGAGTGACTCAGATGGAGTTGGTAGCAGAGGTTGCGGGAGTGGGTTCCCCACTTGTCTCCTGATCAGTGCCACTGCCTTCCCTTCCCCCAGGGACATCCACCTTGAGCTGGGCCTGGGCCTGGCCTCAGTAGGAAGAGAAGCTGGTGCCCCTGGGTCTGGCACCTGCTTCCAAACACCCGGTGCTTTCCCTGTTGTTGCATCACACAGGGGAATCGCACCGGGATCCCTCCAGGAGCATCTCTACCCGTGCCCAGCTGCTTTCTGCTTCTGCCTGCAACGACACTGGCCCTGCCCCTTCCTCTCCCACTTTGCCTCAGGCCCAGGGCTGGCCTTTGGCCATGCCTCCCCTCCCCTCCCCCGTTCATCTCACCCTCACCTCTTCTCAGCCAGCCAGAGTGCTGATAGTGCTCCAGTTAGGGAGGAGAGGAGTGGGGAGGAGAGGAGGGGGGCCAGCCCTGCTCCCCCCAGCCCAGCCAAGCCCAGCCCTGGGCTGCAAAGCATGCTGGGATGCTGGAGGACTGTGATTTACCTTCAACCAGGAAGGGGTCTGGGACAGAAGTTCCATGAACTGGCTTGACCTAAATTACTTAAGTCTGATACTACCAGCTTTATCTTAAACCAGTTTCAGCCATTTTGAAAGTGGTTTATATTCAGTGAATTTCTGTTCTGTTACAGGTTTAAACTGGTTTCTGATCACTTAAACTACTTTATGTGTAACTTCTGTCCCTAGCCAGGGTCTGCACTAAGGAATCCACTGCAGGATCATGGCCAATTGAGACCATCACTAAATATGTGCCTGCTGTTATGGGAAGTCAACTGTCTTCTAAAGGAGCAGCAGCAGGCCGCAAAATTGTATTGTACTGCAGTGTGCCGAAATTCCAAAAGAAATATTTAAACAACAATGACAAAGTAAAATGGTATTTCCAATGTCAAGTTTGGGGTTGCTGTTATAACCTGCATGGGCTTTACTCAGCCCTTTGGTATTAAAGGCATTATATAAATTAATCAAAATGTAGCAAACATTTTTAAGTCTCTCCTGCATTGCTGTCCCTTATCCAGCATATTGCAGAATGGCTTGTTAAAACATTGTTGATGCTGGAAATGACCTGATCTTTTTGCTGCAAACATTCAGTTGGAATTATTGTAATTGGCATTAGTTAAGGTACATTTATTATTATAAGGCCTGGCTTAAATCAGCATGCTTAATACCAGAAGAAAAAAAATCATTTCTACCATATGGAGAGAGAAAGGTCTGAAAATAACATGAATCACTGAAGTTATTCTCACTCATATAGTCCAGCTGCTGCCAGTGCTTGTGGCCTGACCCTGCTCTTGCTTATACCAGTGGCCACTTACAGATGTTTATTTTCTACTGGGAGAATAGCTGCTCTCCTGGTAGAAACCACGAGCGTACAGATGTTCCAGTTTTTTTCTCCTGAGGTGAAAATAACTGTTCCAGGAGAAAAATAATCCAACTCCAACCCATTAGAAGTTGCTCCTGGGAGAGTTTCTCCTGGGAGAATGACATTCCTGTGGCTTATCTCCTCCCAGGGACCAGGAGGAGTGAAGCCACAAGAAAAGGCTCCCATGTATTTTGAAGATCCAGGTCACCCTGATCTGGAGGAGGTACATGAAGAGGGAACTGCTCCTGCTTCTCCTCCTCCTCCTGTAGATTGGGAAAGAAGGGGAGGAAGAGCCTTCAGCTGCTCCCTGCTGGCTCCTCACACACCAGAGTCCTCAGTATGAGAAGCAGACAGAAGGCTTTGCCCCGTTGCTCTGTTGGCTTTGGAGTCAAGCAGAGGTAGCTGTGCCCCAAGCCGCCTGCCTGCTTCTCACATCAGAGCCCCCAGGGTATGAAGTGGGCAGGGGGCTTTGCCTTGCTCTTCCAGTCACCTCAGAAATGGGAGGGCTGGAGCAGCCCACACTTTCCACAGACCAGGATCGTCACAATCTCAGGAAGGTGCAAAGAAAAGGGAGAGAGGGGGGAACTGCTTGTATTTCTCCCTCTCCTAGAATCCTTTCTAGCAGAGGAAATTTTCCATCACTAGAAATAAATGCTTGTATATATGGCCAGTGTTAGACATGTGTGATGACACTGACTTCAATTAAGTTACTGCTACAAGTCAGAGAGATCAATGTCAGACCCTCTGATTATATGAATAGCTATCTGTCTGTGAAACAGAGATCCTCTAGCAAACATTTTCCTTTTCAGTTTTTACCTTTGCAACTTCTCCCATCCTCCTGTAAGATGTACCCCTTCGGACATGAACACTGGTAACTCCCCTCGGTGTTTTTACAGATGAAATTACAAGGCTTGGGGGACAGGCTGCATTCATTCAGGTCTAAAATAAAGAAAACCAAACATCTTAGTGATATCAACCAAGATTAGCAGTAACAAATTAAAAGTGTACCCAAGAGAGTTCATACAAAAACAGTCCTCCAAACTTGGTAAAGAATGGACTTTTGTTGCACTGTAATTAAAGAAAAACCCTCCTCTCTATTTCTGTACGAGTTTCCTCTGAAACTCCTCTCTTTAGCAATGAACTTCCAAGTGTACACTAATAGGAGCTTACCTACACAGAGAGTGCCAGTTATATCTGGTGTATAGCCTGTATTGCAAAGGCAGTGATATGATCCTCTCTCATTGACGCATTCTCCATTACGGCAAACGTCATGAATAACCTTGCACTCATCAATATCTGCAATTCAAAAAACATTAACTCAGAGAGAAAAACATAGGAAAATACATTGATTTTATAAGTCTCTTGTGCTTTGACATGAAAAAAGTGACTTAAAATAATTATAATAATTATTTCATGGATTTAAGAGGCTTACATCTTTCAAAGAAACAGGTACAAATTGAGTACAGCATAAGTTTAACATTTATATTCAGTGAACAAAATCTAAATAAGAATACCAGATAGATTTGGAGAGTTATCAAGAACCCCAATTAAAAAAAAAAAAACAGATCATGCTTGAATTCAAGCTAATGGGAACTTCACATTTATTATTGTGAATCAGGTATCAGACAGATTGCAGGGGTACTTAGACATATTTGCAAAATTAGAGGAAAAATATTTTAAAAGCCTTAGTGGCTCAGAAGTCTAAGTCCCATTTTCAGATGTGACTTAGAGTCAGATTTCTAAGGTATTTTTTGCATGTAAAGATTTAATACAGGACTCAGGCATTTAGGTGCTTTTAACAGTTCCACCAGGTGCCTCTGCCTGTCTCAATGTGAATCTATGTATACACAATGTATCTAAATACCACTGAAAATCAGGCTGTTCAGTACTGGAGTGCCTGTCTTTTTTTTTCCTAAGGGACTTGAGTGCCTCTGAGAATGTTACCCATTCATTTTGTAATTCTTTTGCAGACTTGCAAAAATGATAGCTCAAACACCAGAAAAATGCCTGCCTGGAGCAAAGTCCAGCCCCATGTCCCCAGTACTGCACATTTTTCTGTAACTGAACTAATTGGGTAGATATAAGAAACAAATGCTGGGATCAACCTGACAGACATCTGCAGATGCACCATGAGCTGGAGTGTGCGACGGTCCATATTTACATGTGCCTGACTACTCAAGCTTCCACATAAAAATATGTCTGCTTGCCCAATGATTTGGGAGCCTGCTAACATTTGGGGGTTAGTTGCTGCCTAAACCTGGCCTCTTTGGCAATTCATGCAGGTTAGCAGCAAGTTCTGTATTCACTCCACCTGAGATCTTGCTGGAGGTTTGGCCTTACATCCAGAATGTCGAATGATGTTACAGCAAAACAATTCACTGTGCTCAAAAGCTGTAAAAAACAGTCTATACCATTTTCACTTAATTTATCCTTTTGGACCATAGTCTTGTACGGACGGAAATACCTGCTCCATTGGACATATATCCTCGGCCGTGAGGGCAAAGCTTTTTAAAGGCCACAGTCCCTGGGAAAGGGCAGATCTCGCAGTTTGGCCCCCATCCTCGCCCACCATCACAGCAGCATTCAGACTTGGTGACAGAGTTCCTGTTGCTTGATCCAATTTGACACATACTTTGTAACACTTCAATGAAGCAGTAGCCCTCTCTGTTGTCTGAAAGACAAATTAGGCAGCATGAAGAATCTGAATGGTGATGACCTTCAGAGCATCAAGAGATATTAGGAATTTAGTAAGAAATATAAAAGAAAGGGAAGCATACTTAACCCTGAGCCTCTGGAAGCAAGAGTGAAAGGCTGGCAGCAGTGAGAAAGAGAACATGATGTCTGAAGGAAACAAAGGAGACAAAAAATGTAGTAAGATGTAGAAGAAAAGTCACATTATGCTTAGGAAAAGATGTGCTTTCTGTTTGAACTCTGAGAGAAACGGCTATTTGAAAAACAGAATCACCAGTAAGAAAAGGGCAAAGTAATTTCAGGCTGACAGATACTAATCAACAAGGGCCTTTTATTGGAAATCAACTCATTCTAATGGACTGATATAAGTATACTATTAGCACAGAAAGAAGTTAGCTGTAGGAGAGTGCCAAGCTACAGAAAGCTCCATCCTGTAGACTCTTATATATGGTAGGAACTTTACTCAATATTATCCCCACTGAGTTCAAGCTCTTGTATACTTCTGCAAGATTTGGCTTTGCGAAAGCAGGAACTTGTTACTTACCCAAGCATTCATTCTGGGTGTCACTGGCAGTAAATCCTTCATTGCATTCACATCTGTAACTTCCTTTTGTGTTTATACAGCGACCATTCTCACAGATCCCAGGTTTGGTTTGACATTCATTCTCATCTGCATTTTTAAGAATATGACAAAAAAAATCCATCACTGGGTTAAGTCATGGAGACAAAAACAGGAGACAATAACCTGCGGAAGTGCTTAAGTTGTGCATTCTCACTGGGCAAACTTGAGGATGATAACAAATAGAAAGAAACAGAGGTGACTACTGATTTTCTGAAACACTGTTCAGTATTTGATGGACAGATTAATCAAGTAGTTAGCAAGCAAGCCCAAATCACATATTTTGCTTCTAAGTTTTCCCACCAATGTACTCCACATTACTAATTTACTGATAAATTGACAGCCCATTTTGTATCACCCAAATTTCATGAAGGGTTTAAAACAATACAACAGTGCTTACAGCTCAGAGGCATATAGCACAGTACAGTACAGGGAGAAGATTTCTTATGAAACACTGAAGAGAACTTGGTGTTTTATTATATGCCCAATATATAAATCTCTGTATTATACATTACTTTTATATTCTGCTGCCTTACAATGGGAAAAATCTATACAAAATTAAGTGCCTACCCCTAATGTTTACACCACTATTTGTCTTTCATTGTCAGATAAATTAGGTAGGTTATCAGTAGTATTCTACATTTTACCCTAACTACAAAAGACAGAGAGAACCACAGCTGGTGTAATTCAGCCTACACCCATCAACTTCATTGAAGATAAACCTACTGGCAGCAATTAAAGACCTAAAATGTTACAGAAGGATTGTCCATGTATGCACGCAAAGTGCAAAGCAGTGGAGAGGCAGGCTCTACATACATTTCATGGCCACCATTATACAGCTAGAAGAGTAATGTTTTTTCCCCCAGTTACTTATCACTTAGTCAAAATACGTGACTGCCAATTTTTCTCTTGAATCTGACTTTGTTATCTGCAGTTCAGCTGTACTGGGAAGAATACTACTCCCTAGAGCCTTAACATCTCAGAGCCACTTACCTATGCATCCTTCACCATCTGGCCTGCGCTGAAATCCTGGTCCACATATGCACATGTAAGTGCCAATCAGATTTTTGCATTCCATCAGTTTTTCAGCACAGTCATGAATTCCTTCTTCACACTCATTCTGATCTGAAACAGGATGCATGTTGCAGAATCGTACATACTTAATGAGAGAAAGAGATGCTCTTGGAAACTTGCAATATTGGAGGTTTAGGATTGAAAGTGTAATCATACATAGCCACTACGTTCACTCCAGTTGTATTCAATTGCAAATGGAAATACTGGTCTGGTAAAATTCATTTGTACTTCAGTGCTGTTTGGTTAGGAATGGGGGCCTTTTAAAATAACATTACTGCATTTTGCACAGATTTTCAGACTACAAGGGACCAACATGATCATTTTTTCTCTTTCACCTCCAGGGTCCCTGAAGACCTGGAGCCCTCTAGCACCATAAGTAACTATCCTACGTCTAATGTCACCCTAAAGTGCATTTTCACAACCATGAAAGCATGTTGGGAACCTTACCTCTGCACATTCTCCTGTCTTCTCTAAGAACATAGCCAGCTGGACACTTGCATTCATATGATCCATAAGTGTTCACACAACGGAATGCACAGAGTAGAGGATTTTGAGCACACTCATTCATATCTGAATTGAGAAAAAGTAATCATTTATAAGCCAAGTGAGATTTGCTTTTGCAAAATGCAATGGCTAGGAATTCATGCAGTTTAGGTTAGCTTTAAGTCAGAAATTCCAAATTCCATAGGATCAGATACTAATGTCAGATGTTCTACTGACTGTGGATTTCTACATAGGAACAGGGCAACAGGCAGTCCTGCTTGACAAGACTGGATTATGTGAGCAGGGCAGCAGAAATCACACATAACATTATGCCATCTTTAATGTCAGTCTGGATATGAGAGAAGCTTCTAGGTCTGTATTGCCAAAATATAGTCAATGTTAAACCAATACCGTAATGGTGTATTGCTGATTCTGTGTGCTTTATTTTAACTGTCAGAAAGGTAAGTCTCTTTTGTAGACTGAATTTCATGAAGTATTACCTTTATTGGGACCAACATTACCTGAAACACAATTACATATGTGTTGTGTAAACGGAATGCTTGCTGCTACAAAGAAGTGTTCATGGACTTGATTTTATTTCCCACTAAACTCAGTGAAAGTTTTTCCACTGTTTTTACTGGGAACCAGATGAGGCCCTAAATGCCTGTAATAGTAGCACAGGCCAATCCAGTGTCAGAATTAGATTACTGTGTGCTCCAAGGGAGAAGCAGTCTATCCCAGAGCCTTCAAGCTCTCATATCAAAGCTGAACTCATAAGGAATACAATCAGCAACATTTTCAGGGAAAGTACAAGACACACCAAAGCTAGCGTGAACATATTATGGTTAGGGGAATCTGGGCTGGGAGGCACTGCCACCACACATACGCACACATGCACAAACATACACACATCCCATCCCCCCTGACTCCGTGGCTCCCAGGAACCCTGATGGCAAGACGGGGTGGGATAGCATGGAGGCCCATGGCCAGGCTCCATCCCCTGCATGCAGAACCTGGACCCTGTTGGGAGTAGCCCCTCCGTTTCACCGCTGACAGCCACTCAGAAGTGTCGCACGCGCTGGGGCTCCAGCAGCATAGCACGAGGTTGCTGGTGGCAGATGGCCATCCCAGTTTGCCTGCACAGGTTCCCCAAGCCCCAGCCCTGGCCCTCTCACCAACGTGCTCTATCCCGGCTGACGCCTGCCCCAGGCAGGAGCAGTGGTGCCTGGTCCAGTCCACAGCACCCCCACCTCCAGCCACTCCTCAGCAGGATATGGGCCAGGCACCCAGGTGCTGCATCCAGGTGCCGCATCCAGCAGCAGCCAAATCCAGGACTTTTGCTTTAATTTACACCAAGTGGCCAGGACAGCCTACAAAACCTGGGACTGTCCCAGCCAATCCAGAATGTATGGTCACCCTAACCACGACCCACATGCTCTCATCTGGGTGGGTGATCAGTCCATCAGCAGGCACAAGCTCAGAATCTGAGCAAGTCTTCATGTATATGTCTAGGTAAAAATGCAGACAGAAGTGCAGCTCCCGGCTGTAACTCAGAATTATTTCTGCAAAGCTATCTGAGTTACAATGTTACCCCAGACCAAACAGAAGTTCACTGTTGGTTTCAGGGAGTAGGAGAATCAATCAGCCCCTGCAGCCAGGTTCCCATAGCAATGGCCAAGTTCTCTGCCAGCGCTTAGTTTTCAGAATGGGAGGAGGAAAGGCAGCAGAGGGAGCTCATTCTTGGGGTTCCCCAGCCAGTGTTTAAGGGTGGGATGGGATGGATGAATTGGAGCCCCTCCCACCTTAGGGTGGCTCAATACACCTGCCCCACCCTCCAGGGAGGGCTGAAAAATCCCCAGACTGAACCCCCTCTGCTCCCTTTCCCCCCTCCCATTCTGAAAACAATGACAGGCTCAGAGCTCATCAGACACAACTTACACAAGATGCTGCATTTTGAAATTCTTGGTCTGATACTTCATGCAATGTGGGGTCAGATTTTCACTTGATCAGCCGTTTTTGAAGCTGTCTGCAGCCATACACTTGTGTTTGGCCACAGCTATAACTACTTTATGTGGCCAGATTGGGTAAAAATTGTCACTTCTTTCTGCATCCATAGTGAGGCAAAGAGAGTCAGGCTGGTTATAAGAAGGGGTTCAGATAGAGTTCTCTGGAGCAGGGATGAGGCCAAGGTCTCACATCACACAGATGTTCACTTGTTTTGGCATGTTATTAGTTGCTTTTGATATTATGTTACCATGTTTTTACCACAAAGCAAGAGGTAGAATTTCAGTCTCACCTTCACATGTCATCATTGGTCCTGGCTCAAATCCTTCCTCACAGGTACATTCAAACCCTCCTATGACATTCCTACAAGTTCCATTTCCACACGGATTTCCAACAGCACATTCATCAGTGTCTGCAAGCAATTAAATCAGTGCATGAATACAGGTTACAGCAGGGCAAAGCAAACACTTCTAGCCTTTATCACCTGCAAGATTTCTGGATTATTCATGAATGTCCATTTCAAGACAAGGAACCTCTGATGGCACTGAAGTGTCAGGTATCATAGCTGTTTCTTAATAGCAATACTTAAGAAAGAAGGAGTTTTTAAAATGGAAGATGACTGTTATACTTACCTATACATTCAGCTCCATGAAGGATATAACCATACGGACATTCACAGCGAAAGGAACCATCTGTGTTGATGCACCTCCCAAATTTACAGTTATCTGGATCAAGACACTCATCCACATCTTAGCCCAAAAACAAAAACAAAAAAGGGACACATTCATCAAAGTTCATTATATGTAAAATCTGGCACTACAAATTTTGAAACTAGTATAGAATATTTCTACATTCAGAATAAAGAATATTTGAATGTATGTAAAGAAAGCAGTTACATTTTCAGGCCAAATTTTCAAAGGGTGGCCTACAAATCACAGTATTTTAAAGGTCAAGTGCAGAATCTTCCTAAGAGAGATCCCAGTAACACTGAAAAATAAAAGCTAGCCATTACCCTTGAATCAAAATAGTTGCCAAAAAGCCCTGAATTGGAGTGGGCTTTGTCTTTGGAAAGAGTTGGACTTGAGAGAAGGTATAGATGAGACTCACTAATAGTGAATTACAACTATTTTGAGTCCATGCTCTGGGTTCTGAAGATGGCTTGCCACATGTGACAGCAATGTAATGTACAAGGAAAAACAATACAGGTAATTAGCAGAGTGAGAGAGATGCAGGCTTGAATTTTAAGATCTATGTAAACTTTCTGCATCCTGACCATCTGCTTTGCAACACCAATCTATGGCTCTTGGAAACTTTGTGAAAATATGACTTTTAAGCAGAATGGATGGCAAATGATCAATAGAAAATGGGCTGCTAGTATTAGACTCATACAGTAATGCTCAGAACAGTAGTCACTCACCAAGGCGCGCGTCACCCGGTCCAATAAGAATACCTATTCCAAACGGACATATCTGTCGAAACGCGTCTGTAAGTGAAATGAGTTTTAAAAGAGCTTAAAGCCTTATTACAGCAATTCATGTAGCACATCAACTATCAGCTTAATCTGGATAGGATTCCTTCTTCCAGTCAGAAACTTTAATACATTTGAGTTTGTATGTGTATTTCTAGCTACACGTTCACAATGGCATAGAAACCCTCCTTCTCTCCCCCTCCCCCTCTCTACACACACAAACACCAAGAATGTAAGTATATACCATAGTTTTATTCAAATTTTATCATATCTACTGGGCATATATATCTATATCAAAATCTTTAAATAATTTTGTTTATTTTCTCCTTAAGGAACAAACTAAACAAAATAGTTGCACTAAATGCAATAAAAATAAATTGATGCATTCTCATTCCCTGTAAATAACATTTCTAAATGTATACATTAATCTAATCATAAAAGTCTGTCGAATCCTGTACAGTCATAGGTTAATATCTGCTTAATGCAAAGAAACCGTTTACATGTCAAATCATGATTTTATCTGAGGCAGGCTGAGGTGGTGGTGTCTCAGTTCAGAGTGGAGTTAAAGTAGAGTTCAGGTTTAATACCACCAAACCCTCGTAAACTGTTTTTGCAAGGTTTCAAAAGGCAGATGTCTTTGAAGATCATGTTACTGTCCAGTCTCTGTTGTGGAAAACAAGTTTCACCTTGTTTATGTGAATCACAAATCCCATTCTGGGAACTTGACCAATAAATAAAATCATAAATTCCCACAACACTGGACCAACATTTAATGAGAAGGGATGTACTCACAAAATTTCCATCTGATTCAGGTTCAGAAAGTAGAAATCTTCTGATTTTGAACAAAAAATGATGAGACTTCCCACATTTGTGACTGAAGGTGGAGTCTTGCATATGAGACAGCAGTTAAGACCCATCTCAAGATATTATGCTTTTGAGCTCATTTCAAGATACAACTGCTCTCTATACTCAGGATATAAGACCCTTTCACAGCATACAGTAAAACACTGTTTGAAGTCCTTTAATATACTAAGTGTAAGCTTACAATGTAATGCTGTTATTTGTTCTTAGAAGCTGTTGATTTTTTATTTTAAAATGTTATCAACATTTTGCTGCCATTATATGAAAGGAAAAAACTATACAGTCACATATTACAGCAACAAAATCAGTGAAGTCTCTGGCATATGGCTACTTGCCGAGAGAAAATTCAGTCTTGCTTGGCCATCAAAAGGCTTATCTGATGAAATAGAGCTTACATGGGACTCAAGTGATAAAGAAACCTTTGGCTGACTACCTTCACAGGGGGCTATGTAGCATACAAACGATAAGATATATATCAAGGGACACATTTGAACACTTAAGAAAATTTTGCATCATCCAAGATATACTGAGAAAGTTATGAGTCTTCTAGACTCAGACATTATTATGCTACTTTGTATTTTAGAGATGAAAAAAATCCATTTGCTTTGGTAGACTCAACCGAGAACAATTCAGACTAGGACAAACATATGTAATGGTACTTTAAGAAAAAGCTCTGAAGTTTACTATGCTTTTCCAGTTAACACTACCCATTTGGCTTGTATCCTATGAAGAGAATTTAACCACCCACACTGAGGGAATAAGCCTTAAAGGAATCTCTCAACTGGGAAATCTGTTTTTTTCCTCTTGGCTCCAAAGAATACGATCTGCTAAACATCTACATAATTTATGAATGTGATGAACTGTATTAATATATTGCTGAAATGTTAATATTGTTAATTATGGTCTGTCATCCTGAATTAACGCGCCTGTAATGGGCAACATAACTATGCCGTAACACCACTGCTCTTTGCGAATGTGTTTGGTGCAATTAGAGACTTAGTGAATAATCAGGTCCCCATGCCTCTGTTATCTGCGAGTCTTTCACAGAAGGAAGGTTAAGCAAAAACTTTTAAAAAATAGTTAAATACATTGAAAAACCATAAATCTTGGCCAGGAAAGTCAGAGGGGTAAAGGTGATATTTATATTGATTTTCTAAAAAGATCTAAATAGATTAACATTTTCAGCACTTAAATTGGTTTTAGAAAAAGATCACTTTGTGTCAAATATATTGTTATGCTTAGCCTCTACCAAAAGCTTAGTATTTTTCTGCCATTTAAGAGAAATAAAGCATTTGTAATCTCCAGAGCAGAGTGCTATCAGTCTACTCATACTTCCCTTCTACAACATAACTCAAAATTACTATTCATATATTTTGAGAAGTGGGTATGTCCTACACTCCTTTATAGCAGAAAGGTTTCTACTCTATAAAAAGATAACTAATAATATAAATAATACACTCCTATTAAGGGATATTAATATTAATGTGATTAAACAAAATAATTTACCATTCTTTGAGAAACAATTTCTTTTTCTAATTTCTTCTCCTGTGACCCTCCCCCATGATACCGCTTTCCTTTTTAAGCGCTGAGAGCGCATAACAATATTAATGCAATACGTTTGATAACATACCATCTGCTTCCTCTGGACAGAGTTCACATGGGTCGCCCCAGCCTTGTCCTTTCAAGGCACAACAACATTCCTGCTTGGAATGGTTTTTCAATTTTGGAACAGAACACTTTCCATCTTCAAATTTGGTAAAGCAGTAACTGACTCTCAGATCTGCATAAACAAAAGCATGTTACTCTATAGTTCCTCACTAAAGGTATTGGGGTTTTGTGCAATTTGCAAGCAAAAATAAAAGTTTAAGCCAATGACATAAACGGCCTTCTATGTGGATGATATCAGAAAGGATTGGTTAACATAGGCTGAAGCAGGAGGGGGAGCTCTCACTGTACCAGCTAACAGAGAACTGCTATAGAAGAGAGATGCTATGATACAGAGAAGAGGGAGAATTCCTCTCTGCTTTTAGCAAAGGAAGGACAGAGATACTACTCCCACGTCGCAGTTCTTTACCGTAAATCTTGTTATATTACCTCTATTTATATTCAATTATTAGAACACTGATCTTTAACTAAATAAATCCCATTGACACTAAAAGGTTTGAGTTAAATTTTGACAGCAATACTGTATAATGTAAAAAAAAAAAAAAAAAAAAAAAAAAAAAAGGGGTTTTTT